AACTACTTTTTACGGGTTAATTTCGTAGCCTTTACAGGCTTCCTCGTTTTATTCTGACGACGAAGCCTGTAAAGGCTACGAAACATCAATAAATAAAAATGGATGCGTGTAACTTATGTACGCGCGTGAGAAGTTATACTTCTTTAGCATCATTAAAAATATTTTTTAATTGAATGCAAATAATTAATAATTACAATAAAATAATAAAAGGACTGGAAAAGGATAGTTAACACAGTCAATTAAGTTCAGTTTTAATTTGAAAAATTAAATAAATATTCAATTAAAATCACTACTGAATTTAAGTTATTAATCCATATGTAATTAGCACTTGTAAGTAACTAAAACACGTTGTGTCTATATAGAAACTAGAAACATGTGGATAAATATTATAAATATGAAAACAGTGATCAGAGGCGACGAGCGTGCCAACATTGTTTTTGACAACGCGATCATCTTATGGAGCTCCGTGGATCGTTCAAAGTACCTTTCGAACAGATCTCTAATAATGGTGGATTATTAACCACTAAGTGGTTAATAATCCACCATTATTAGGCACTAGCATTCATAACGCGCCCGCGGCCAACTTCATGGTGTTACTATTGTATTACAGTATGCGCGCGCATCTTAAAATTTCACTCTCATAATTTTTTCATAACGCGGCTAAAGAAGTATAACTTCAATAAATAAAGTTTCGTGCATTAACCCGTAAAAACTAGTTTTATTTTTTTTTTATTTTACTCATGCAGATTATTTACTTTATGGTAAGGTGTCTAGTTGGAATTTTTGTTTCGCGAACGCATCTTTTATACCGCTCAGTTGGAATTGCGTATGGTTTAAATTTATTGCAATTTATTCAGCCAGTCATTCGTTCATCGCGTAGCTAAAGCCGTTATTTTGTTTTCGTTAAATTAAAACTGTAACTGAATTTGTAATTGTAATATCGTTTGTCAAAATTTATCGATACAAGTAAGTATCGATACTTTTCGTTCGATACCGAGTAGGCATCGTTACTTTATGAAACGATACAGTATCGAGTGAAATTATCGATACGTAGTATGGTATGATATGGTATCGTTTCATCCCTACGCCTAAGGGCGCTTATTACCGAGACGATTTCTACCCGGGCCGATGCCGGTAAAGATTGCTCATGAGCAAAGTGTCGCCATCGCTGGTGTCATACCTTTTTTTACCTTTTTTTTTTGTGACGAGGGGAAATGCAGTTACGCACCATACCGTGACGCTGACTAGGCGCACGGCGTGTGTGGGACTCGCCGGCACGGGAAACAGTGCCGACCCTACTCAAGCAGAACCAGTGCGGAAGGCCACACTGATCCTACTCCACTAAAACCCCCCGATACCCTCCTACGCCCATATGGGGGCATCTCAGGATCGACGCACCTTAGCGTGCGCCACTTCACTGGGACGTCCCCGGGCAGGCCCGGCCCAACGAGTGGACCGGGCGACGCGCCTCAGGGGGACTGCGCTAGGGTACTAGGCAGTCCCCAGACGTGGTGGCCTATGCCGGAGCGGCACCTAGGACGCGCGGCTGGTCAGGCCGCGCCCAGACCACCTTAGGGCCGTCGAAGACCGGCAGTCACCGCTGCCTGCCTCCTTCGGCCCACCACAGATTCGCAGAAGGAGGCGGCCGCCCTCCATAGTGCCCCATACCTAACTGACGGCGGTGGGAAACCTCATTTCGTTAACAAGCGCCCGAATTCCGCGTTGTTCGATGTATCAACTATGTATAGTTATCTGTGAATATAGTTAAAACAGTATAGAAAATAACGATATAAAGAAAATTTTACTAGAAAAAATTCCACGCGGTCCAGCCAGCAGACGGTACTCGAACCCACACCCTTCGCTATCCGGGCGAATGCACTGACCATTATGCTACCGCCGCGACCCCGATGGCCGTCTCGAAATTTACAAGTATTAAACATTTGAACGAAGAAATAGCATCACTGCTTAAAAAATCAGTTAAATGCTTAATAAATAAATCTTGATAACGATATGTCAAAATTTAACACATACTATCTATTTAACGTGACAGTGACTAATAGTCAAATCTAACTCTATGTACACAAACACGGCCTTACTAAAACGATCGATACAACGGCACAGGACTGGGGCACGGGGCAGGCCTTCAAAGGACATAACCACAAAAAGAGAACAGATCCATCATATCTTGAAGGTCCAATGGGCCCCAAAAAAGAAGTCCAATGGGCACATTGAATATAATTTTTTTTTAAAAAGGTCCAATGATCACCAAAAAAGAGGTCCAGTGGGTACTTTTTGCTTTTGAGTCGAATCTTGAGGGTCCAACGGGTACTAGACCGTCACGAGGACCTGATTTTTGATATTAATTTGCATCCGTGTCTAACGGCTCAATCGGCATTGCGAAGAAATTAAAAAATGATAATATTGTTTATGGCCAATTTCAATTCTCATCCAATGACCATAACCAATCAACTTCCCGATTCGTTCCAAAATTAAACTCCTATTATAAGCGAAGGCTTATATTTTCGTTCATATTCATAGCAACATTAAAGTATCCGACATTTCTGTTCGCTAAGTACTGCTTCTGCATAAAGTCTAAAAATAAGATGTATTCAGGGAATCTTAACACTGTAATACCCTGAAAGCCTTATTGTTTGTGTTTATTTATAAAATAGAAACTTCCCTGTAACCCCGTAACAAACAATAAATGTGAGCTTAGTCAAAACAAACGAGGCAAATATATAATATAATATTTTGCCACTTAAGTAGCAGGTAACAAGCCTTATAATATAGCTATTAACGGGATTGTTACCATGTACCTTGTTTTTTATGAGCCTCCGATATTTCGCCGCTGTTGCAAGCTTAGATTAAAACAAAAAGGGTAGATACGGTACGCTCATACTTGCATCAAACAAAAACTGATCCCACGGCAGCGCGAACGGGACGGCGAGATCCGCGTCACTGCATTACCGACCCGAACGAAACAGCATGTTAAGTTTCAACGGCAGCGCAAACGAGACGGCGAGATCCGCGTCACTGCATTACCGACCAATCAGGCTACTAGTACTCGACGTCACTACCGAATAAGATTCAAAACAAACAACAATTTCTATGAAAAAATATATTTTGTAGTACTTAGGAATGAAAAGTGATGCCGTGGGTTTTATTTTTAGTTCTTGAGCAATGTGAGCACTTTTTAAAAACACACTTAGGGATTGTTTTATCATATAAACACAAAATATTAGCAATATTTCTTTTTAGCGTACACATGTACGTCGTTTGCATGTCAAGTTGTGACTAAAGCGATTAGGGTCGTGGACCATAATTGATGCGGATCACTTTTGTGAGGCTAGTGCCGTATCTACCCTTTTTATTGTTTTAAACTTTCATGGTCACTAACATTATAGTAATATAAGTTATTATATTACTATAATGTTAGTGACCATGAAAGTAATATTATTATAAAATAATATTTCGGCACTATTGCGCTTGCAATAGTGCCGAAATATCGGAAACTCGCTAAAAACAAGGTACATGGTAACAATCCCGTAAATAACTTATATTATCTACCCTTTTTGTTTTAATCTAAGGTTGCAAGTGCCATGATCACGGAGTAACTGAAGTAATTGCGGGTAGATGGTATTGGCAGACATATCGGTCTACCCTCTGACGTCATCTTTTAGTTACTTCAGTTCTTCAGTGATGGCGCTTGCAACAGTGCCGAAATATCGGAGACTCATAAAAAACAAGGTACATGGTAACAATCCCGTTAATAGCTGTAATATTAGTGACGATGCAAGTTTAAAACAAAAATGTATACACACCAAAATGGTCTGATTTCAAACATCCTCGCATTGTAATAAGATCGTTTGTCGTATAAATGCAATCGCGTTTAGTTCAGAATATACGAATTTTATTATATTTTATTTTTAAAATTAACGTAGAGTTCAAATTATTGAAAATTTAAAATCCCCGTTACATCCTATGTGTATGTGAGGGTTTCGTTGACGCTGTGCAAAGTTATCAGTATACTGTTATATATACTTATGCTGTAACAGCTATCTTCGCGTCTGGACTTCTCCTTCACTTAACATCAGGTAGGGTGGAGTCATTTGTCGGACCTATCTATAAAAAAAAAAGAAAAAAACTTGTCAGTAAGTATTCCACGCCAGTAAATACATTCATAATAAAACGATAAACAAAAGATTTTCTTCGTTCAAGTGCGCAGTATTAGCAGTCATAATTAGGACAAAAACAAGCGATTACGTTGGCGTTAAGAAGAAAACATAAGAAGGTATAGAAAAACAAGAGTTTATAATTATTTACTTTCTCAATAAAGTTCTATCGTTTTCATAACAAGAAATATGTTTCTACGAATTTTGGACATGCGTGCAGTTGATGAGGTTGATTGAGGAGCTCGATGGCGCAAGTGGTTAGCGCATTCGGCTGCGATCGTTGAAGTTAAGCAACTTTCGCAGTGGTCGGTCATTGGATGGGTGACCAAAAATCTTCTATCTCGAGTTCCTCCGTGCTTCGGACGGCACGTTAAGCCGTTGGTCCCGGCTGCATCTGCAGTCATTAGCACCCGACTATTCATATTAAGGATCGTACTGATACAGTCATGTATAAGTATATTTATATGGAAATACATATTAAACCTCAATGACTGGAGTACAAATTCGAACTCGAGACCTCTGTAGTATGCGACATCTTGAAACCCGGCATTCAAACCACTCGGCCGTCGAGCTCATCGAGTTATACTTCAAACTGATGAAAAGGTGCTGAAAGCTTGTATGCGAGACCAATTCTTGGACGCAAATAAAGTCGCGGCCTTATAATGCGGTAACTATAATTACATGCAGGCCGGCAAGGTGAGGACGGCTGGTGTGGCAGGTAGAACTGCTGTACCAGTTATCTTCACGTCTGGACTTCACCATCACTTAACATAAGGTGGGGTGGAGTCATTTGTTGGACCTATCAATAAAAAAAAATTAAAATCCTACCTGTTTCTGCTGCAGGAAGCAGTGCATTGCCTGTGTGACGTCAGCCGCGTGAATGGAGTTGTGGTAGGGGTTTGTGCTGTGATAACCCTCTTCGATCAGGCTGAACAGCTTCCAGGCCTTCGCGGCGTCCAACTTGAAATGCGTCAGGAGCCCGTAGATGTGGAACAGATGAACACATAGCACTGGCAAGCAACGCCCTGCGAAAATTATGGATTCTTAGTATGAATAGTGGTTGAAAATGGTCACATTCCCATGAAGGAAATACTGCATAGGCTTCTTCAGAAGAGACGTTAAGAAGACTTTATATTTATAATAGGGGTGATGACGGGGTACAGTAAACGAAATTCTATTTAGTCCGTCGGTTAGATGATCAAAAAATAATGGACACGTATTTTTTCTTTGGGCAATCAACCAAAAAATGACAAAGTTATAGCGCGTCAAAGTTTGGGAGTAGGGGCTCGTGACGTCACTTTTGAGTGAAAATTGTACTTGTTTAATTGTAAAATGTGACGTCATGCGAATTTTCAAATCAATATATCTCTGCAATGTTTATATTATGTGAAAAAAGAAAAAATAAGTGTCCTTTTTGATAATCTACCTTATAAACGAAGAAAAAAAAATAGTCATCATCCCTATTGCAGCCGTCTCTAGGACATGGTTATTTTTCATCAGGCTGACCTTTGTGATCTTTGTGCATTAAAAAAATATTTCGCTAAATATACGATTTTACTGTTTAGGGTTTTTATCACATAGTCGCCGGGGATTTGCTCACTGCCGTTATAATTTGCATTGCCGTTTTCTTCAGACGATTTAATAATTATTTTGAACACAAAATCGGTTATTGTGATTAAATCATGATAGCTAGATATATGTTCTCCCTGACTTTTTTGTAGGTCTTAATGGGATCTACAAACCCGTAGTACATCATTTTGTTCTATTGTCAATAGTTTATGCAGCGCACGCAAAATTAGGTTTTCGATTTTACACCTTGTGTTACAAAATAGCAATTTTATTACGGATCCCTAATTTTGAATTAAAATAGCCTATAGCCTTCTTCGATAAATGGACTACCCAACACTGAAAGAATCATTCAAGTCGGACTCAGTAGTTCTAACAAACAAACAAACAAACTGCAGCTTTAAAATATTATTATAGATTGAAAATTTAAATTTAAAATTTGAAAACGTGCGATTGGGACTTTGGTGTTAGAATTACTTGTGCCGTGAGGTTGAGCACTAAATATACCGTAAAGATGTTGAGTTGATCGTCGAATCTGTCTGTCTCTGTTTGGCTATTTTTCTTTTGTTTATTTTTATTTATCATCATCATCACCGGCCTACTAATGTCCCCACTGCTGGGACTCAGGCCTTCCCTATGGATGAAATAGGGAGATTGGATCATGCACCACCACGCGGGCCCAGTGCTAATTGGTGAGTGCTAACAACTGCAGATGTCGCTTACTTTAAGCTTAAAAGGAAGCGACATTTTACAAAAGGTTAAAAAACTTAAATGGTCCTGGATTGGACATATCATGAGAACAAACAAGGAGAAATGGACGAAAGATGTTACGGAATGGTAACCTAGGAATGGTAAAAGGCGAAAAGGACGGCAAATTAAAAGATGGGAAGACGATTTACCAAAAGGATGGAAAAGGCTAGGTCTATGTCAAAGGACAACCTGACCAACAAACTCGTTGCTGAAGAATACCAATATATATAATATTTAGATTTAAAATCCATAGCATATAAGTCAAACTGTATTTGGTCAGTGCATAAAGGCTTTTATTATTATTATTTCCTTTATTTCAATAAAAATACATACAAAATTATAATTCTAAATATTAAATTTTTACAATGTATTACATTAAAAAAAATTACATTTAAAAATACAAAAATGCAGTTCCCCATCGGAAGCAAGATCAGGGTCCCTGCTACCGGCGGTTAAGGATCCATAGACAGGAACCTCCTCACTATACGGGCCGTGTCCAGAAGTACTGCCTTCTGCATCTGATTATTATTATTATAACAACTGCAGATGCAGCCGAGACCAACGGCTTAACGTGCCTTCCGAAGCTCGGAGGAGCTCGAGATAATAAATTTTTTTTTGGTCGCCATTTCCATGACCGATCACTGAGAATTTCAGCGAAACGCGCTTACCACCCGCGCCCTCGAGTTTCTCATCTCTTATCTATTAGACAAGTCCGTCCGTCCGTCTGTCTGTGGTGCTGTTTCAGCGGCCAAACCGTAAGAGATAGATAAAGAGAATATTTAAGTTATAAGTTAAGAATAGTCTGATAAAACCACAAACCGGATTTGAGTAACGTAGCACTTCCGGTTTTCGAGAAATCTCAATTAATTAAATACATTTTTTTTTTTAAATCAGGTTTTGGTGAACATTTGGTTCACTGGTTTGCTAGTTTTATTTATACCTAAACTATAAATACTATAGATGCTTTGCATGACGGTAACGAATAAGCCTAAAAGCTACTGGACCGATTTCATTTCGTTCACCTTTCACCAGAACGCTATTTTTCTGCGTTAAAATAAATTCGTACCGTGCTAGGCCGGGCCGGCTGCATATAAATAAAATGTATATTCCTATATACATAATACTTATAATACTGTTGTTACGTGAGATTGTTCTCAAATGAAACATGGCCTTGAAATCAATGTTGTTTGTGAAATGGAAATTTCCAAACAATTTCGTGCGAAGCTTCAAGAAACAGAGCTGTCATTGATTTGACACGTAGATGACTGACGAATTCGATGTCGTTGTTTTTGCTGAATATCAAGGGATGAAAGGTAATGAAGTGAAGAAGATACGGCTTACCCATAGACCAATTTAACCCTATTTAATCACCTACCTCTCTACTCTAGGAGAAACATTTTAGGCTTTTAAATTTTTTCACTATACAAAAATCTAGGAATTGAGAAAATTGCAGTCTAGTCTCTGATTCTGTGATAATAAGCGATATATGGCGATGGCGTTAGTGATTAGCGCGTTCGGCTGCGATCGTTGAAGTTAAGCAACTTTCCCAGTGGTCGGCCATTGGATGGGTGACCAAAAATTTACTATCACGAGCTCCTGCGTGCTTCGGAAGGCACGTTAAGCCGTTGGTCCCGGCTGCATCTGCAGTCGTTAGCGCCCGCCAATCCATGCTGTGGATTGGCGGGCGCTAACGACTGCAGATGCCCGCAGTGGCGGGTCATGGCCCTATCTCCCTTTTTCATCCATAGGGAAGGCCTGTGCCCCAGCAGTGCGGACATTAATAGGCTGACAATGATGATATAAGATGAAACAGTGTGACAACGTAGATATCAAAACTCGAGAATAAACATACAGAAATTCATTAGCCGTTTCCGCTCAGTACAACACGCTTTATTGGCAATTAACTAATGTTAGCGAACGATCACTGGAGTGAAACAAAATTAATTGGTAGTTATTATATCGACCGATGTATTAGTTAAACTAAATATAAATAAATACTTCGATGGTAACATCGTAGACTAAGTTAAATTGTTTTTATTTTTGTAAAACATTATTAATAGTGTATTGTTTTAAACTTTCATGGTCACTAACATTATAGCTATTAACGGGATTGTTACCATGTACCTTGTTTTTTATGAGTCTCCGATATTTCGGCACTGTTGCAAGCGCCATGATCACGGAGTAACTGAAGTAATTGTGGGTAGATGTTATTGGTAGACATATCGGTCTACCCTCTGACGTCGTCTTTTACTGCGCTCGATACCCCTACCATTGGTCACATTCTCACTATTCACTCGCACCTGTTCCCGACACACAATATCGGTATCGAGCGCAGTAAAAGACGACGTCAGAGGGTAGACCGATATGTCTGCCAATAACATCTACCCGCAATTACTTCAGTTACTCCGTGATCATGGCGCTTGCAACAGTGCCGAAATATCGGAGACTCATAAAAAACAAGGTACATGGTAACAATCCCGTAAATAGCTATAACATTATTAATAGGACTCTCCTGAATGTTTTCCCAGATTTGCATCAGTGTTTTTGGTGTGCATAAATTTTTCTTCCATTTCTTGCTGGATTTCTGCTAAAAAACTATACTATTCTTGAGAAAACCTTTAAAATGTCAAAAGAAAAAGTGTGCGTCTCGGGACTTGTAAATTAAATGATATTGGAAAAGGTTTCATCCTTTAATGTTGCAGAACGATTTCGATAATTTTTTCTAGGCAGCTGAGAAATATGTTCAATAATGAGTGGTAACTTGAGAAAAGCTTAAATTTTTAATTCTAAAGAAAATATTACTAGAAAAAATATCCACCCGGACCAGGCAGCAGACAGGACTCGAATCCGCACCCTTCCCTGTTCGGGCGTATGCACTGAGCAATTATGCTACCGCGGCCCTTTTGGCCGTGTTGAATTAATAAATATATAAATATTTCCAACACTCATATCAATTAGCCTAGCCCCAAAGTAAGCACTGTAAAGCTTGTGTTATGGGATGCTAGGGTAATGGATAGAATACATATATAAGTATATTTATATAGAAATACATATTAAACATCCATGACTGGAGTACAAATACTCGTATTTATCACACAAACATCTGCCCTCACCGGGATTCGAACCCGGGACCTATCGAGTCGGCGACACCATGAAACACGCCGTGCAAACCACTCGGCCACGGAGGTCGCCAGAATTCTTTCTAGCCTTTCTTAGGGTGCGGCCAGAGTGCACTCAGATTCAGATTCAGATTTCGAAAACAAGCGCGAGAAATAAACAGTGTAGTCGAAGGGTACGGCCAGAGTGCACTCCTGATTCAGATTCAGATTCGGACTCAGAAAACAAAGCGCGAGAAAAAGCAGGCAACCTGCTTAGACTACACTGTTTATTTATGGCGCTTGTTTTCAGAATCTGAATCTGACTCTTAGGTCCGCTTAGGTTTTTACTCATTTATAATCACTTTCAGAAACGGTGATAGTTTTAGGTTACATGCTCACTGTCAACGGTATATGTCTAACGTACAATAAATACTGACTAGAGAGAGGAAAGCGTCCGAGAATCGGTGCTGCGGGTAAAAGTGAAAGATCCACTGCCGTATCATCATCATCATCAACAGCCTATCTTACTCTACTGCTGGATTTGTCCAGCAGTAGAGTCTCCAATTGCACGCCACTGAGATCGATCTTGAACAACTCGCATCCAGCTCTTG